TCTTTAAGTGTCCCTTAAGGTGAAAGGGTCCTTTGTTTGTCATGACCGGAGGATAAATTTCCTTACAACCCTGTAAAATTCATTCAAGAAGGCCTGATTCTGCATCATCAAACTCTTGAGCAGAGTGGATGATTATTTTACTATCCTCGATAACAAGTTTAGTGCCTATGCAACAGACCGAGAATTTTCGAAAATTTTTAATCAAATTCTCTGAACCGTCCCATTATGCTAACACTTTTGACCCATTTACCGGTCAACATCTATTAGTCACACCAAAAGAATATTAATACAGCATTTTCAATATGTCTCACTACTCGTCCCATTCATGTGGTCAAACCACAACTCAGCTGAATGCCAAACAGTTTCGTCGGCCCGAAGTGCAACGGATTTGAAGGAGTTAGGACATCAGCGCTTAGTATGAGCAAAAAATGTTGTAAAAACATCGAATCCCTTCCATGTTTCTCTAACACCATGTAAACGTTTTGGCTGCGTTCGTTTCCATTTAATATTGCCCTGCCACATTTGGATGGACAATTCTATATACTAACTTGTGTGGATGACTTCATTTAGTTATATGAAGCATCATTCCTGATAAAACCATTCTATACTCCTTCTCCAAACAATCGGTCAGAAACTAATTACTCGTTTTGTTTAATTACGGCTCCTCATGGTCAAGTGGGATATCACAAGCTAATGGTATTGATGCCAATGTCTTATTCCAAACATCTCTTTGACTTATTTCCGTGACCCTGAATTGGTCCACCAATGACTCTTTCGTGCCTTAAGTAACCCTCGTGCTATTGATAGAAGAAACCAGACAAGTGGTGAATATGTCTTTATTTCAATCTTCGCGCAGTCACAGTGGAGCGTGAGATTATCTGTTCAGACAAACAAAGGCTCTCAACATTCAATATAAGATAATAGGGAATATAACGCTTATACGAAACAAGGAAGTGAATGAATACTTGAATAATACTGTTTTGGCATATGCTTTGTTGTTTGGGGTCAACTCTTAACCAATCAACTTAAGCTATTACATTAGCTTCCCCCAAAATCGACTTCCGTAGGAACGTCGGTTCGATTAACCTATCTATCGAAAACACCTTATTCCTATTTCTCATTCCAAAGGAAAATTATCAACTCGCTCACTGTTTGACTTACAATCAGTGACGACTAACACTGTCAGCTGTCAACGATAGTCCATGGATGTCTCTTCACTTACTAGCTTGTCATCTTATTTTGTAGCATGTGATTTCTTCTACAACCATCGACGACGGTCTGCTGCATGCTTTCAAGAGAAAGTGTGAGAATGTGGAATAAGAATATCTGAGGAAGTGCCGCGTTTCTCAGGCCGAATGGAATGCGTACAAACTCGAATAAGCCAAAGGGTGTTGTAATAGCTGTCTTGGGAATATCTTCATCAGCCACCGGGATATTGTGATATGCCCTGACTAAGTCAATTTTAGTGAATATGTTCATACCCTGTAAACCGTTGGTGAAATCTTGGATATGAGGTATTGGGTACCTATCTGGTACGGTTTGACGGTTTAGGGCTCTGTAATCCCCGCACGGTCGCCAGTCACCTTCATTCTTCTTTGGGACCATATGCAAAGGGGATGCCCATTGACTATCAGAGGGACGGATAATACCCAATTGTAGCATATAATCAAACTCGGCCCTAGCGATTTTGAGCTTATCTGGTGCTAGTCTCCTGGGTTTTGCAAACACCGGTGCACCTTCGGTTTTGATAGTGTGACTTACTTTTAGTTTGTCTTTGGAAGGCTGTGGGTTTGGTTTAGTTAAGTTTGGAAATTCCGCGAGTATATCTTGGAATTTCGCTGTTGTTACTGGAGGAGTTTGAATCAAGTTAAGAGAGCTGATGTGACTTTCTTTGCCTTTTGTGTAATACGAAGTTTCTTTTAGTGTTAATCGCCGTTTCTTGGTGTCAACTAGAAATTCGTATCTCTCTAGAAAGTCCATCCCCAGTATTGCCAGATCTAAGTCGGCTACCGTGAAAACCCAAGGGAATTGCCTCCTGAACCCCAAATCTAGGGTTAAAGTTTTCTGCCCAAATGTCGCAATTTTAGTTTTATTTGCAGCTTGAAGTGTAATTGATGATGTTTCTCGACTAATCTCAGTTTTATTTTGAGGGATGATGCTAAGAGCAGCGCCAGTATCCACCAAGAAATTCAAGCCAGAGTTTCTGTCTCTAACATAAAACAAGCGACTGTTTAGGCGCCCCTCCTCAGTCGTCGCGACCTGGGGAGGGGTTACTCGTTTCCCGCTGTCTTAGAATTATGCTTAGGCCAGGCGCATGGTTGCATGCACTTGGTTGAGTTGACACCAAACTTCCAGTGGTACCAACAAAACTGCCCAGATTGTCTAGACATTTGTGACCTGTTTTGTGACTTGGATCGTGGTCGTTGTGGTGACCTGCTCCTGTTTCTATGACCCATTTGCATTCTGGTGACAGCCTCAGTGAGACTCTTAACACTCGCAATGAGTCCTTCTATTACGGGGTCTTTTGCTGATTCTACTTTTTGTGTGTGATTTATTGTGCCTGATCCAGTTGGAGGACCTCTTTCCATTATTCTGTCGGCTATACGCGCTAAATGAGATAATGAGGTTTCAGGATCTTGTGCATCCAAACAGTGTTGGACGTAGCATGGGAGAGCTTGTATCCATCCTTGTTTTAGGACTGCTTCACCCACTGTGTTATCACCCACTAAGACTTGGAGGTGACGTAAAAACTGTGACGGCGACCGATCACCTAGTGTTTCACCTTGAAAAAGTCTTTGGATTCTTTGACTATCTGATAATGATAAACGGTTCATTATCTCTCGTCTTAAGATGGTGTATGGTTGTGGTGATGGTGGACTTAAAATCAAGTCACGGACTTCTTTGGCGACTGAAGGAGGAAGGATAGAACACAAGTCTCTATAGCGAATCCCTTCAGATTTGATATTGTGTCTCGTGAAATAATGCTCTAGTTGAGCAAACCACAACTCAGGATCACTACGATCAAATTCTGGAAGTCGGGATTTCGTAGTCATAACAGTGTCTATCTCCACTGGTGACAAATCCTCCAGATTATGGGTTTCTATTGAGTCTGACATGAGGTATGTGACAAATATAGCAATAAAGTTAGCACGAAAAATGGTTACTATAACACGAATAACTTAAGATAATACGGAATAAACTAGTTATATACTCAAATTAGTTTACGGATAATCAGGTCTACTTTTACGATTAAGTAAAAAAAAATGTTAATAACAGAAATGAGGTTAAATTTGTGTTCAAAAAGGGCTCACCACTTTCGTGCCTTAAAGTAACCCTCGTGCTATTGATAGAAGAAACCAGACAAGTAGTGAATAGGTCTTTATTTCGATCTTAGCGCGGTCACAGTGGAGCGTGGGATTATCTGTTCAGACAAACAAAGGCTCTCAACATTCAATATAAGATAATAGGGAATATAACGCTTATACAAAGTAAGGAAGTGAATGAATGCTTGAATAATACTGTTTTGACATATGCTTGGTTGCTTGTGGTCAACTCTTAACCAACCAACCTAAGCTGTTACAACTCTACGGAAGTCATGAGAACGAGTTATAATATACATAGTGGAAAAAAGACAGTCGGTATTTGAACATTGTATTTTCCGTACAAAATTTTTAAACTACACATAATCCTTAAATTCCAGCTTCTGTTTCAATCAACTTCATTCAGACAGTTATCTGTTCATTCATCGCCATATTGTGGCTTGTTTTATTTGACCTAATAGAAAAGAATGCGTCTAACTAGTCACACTAATTTTGTCCATGTAAAAATGACTAAACGTCACTAGTCATGAATACCGTCCCTTCTGCCTTTCTCTCTCTCTCTCAGTACCCTCATGGTGTACCAACGAAAATATTTATTGAACATACTACTTTGTCCTGCACCATCACTTATACCGCCAGAATTTATCTGGGATCCACATCGAGAGGCATGAACTTATACGTTCAAGTTAACGTCTTCAACTGACTGCTTTGAACTTCAATTCATCATTTTCAACCACCAATTACTCGTTGCAACGCAACCTCCGCAAAGCGCTTCAACTCTGCCATTAGACATTAGAACCGCGCTCACATTAAAATTCTAATATGTGAAAATTTGTCCCCTGTTTAGATCGCCCATATGGGCTATGACTTATTAACGTAATTGAGTAACTTAGTAGATTAAAGCACGTAGCATTTGTAACAACTTTATGTTGCCTGTAAACTGGCATGCTTCATGTAGCACTTTGTTATCTGTGATCATATTATTATTATCACTATCATTATTATCATTATCATCTAGTATTCTAGACTGTATGCACTAACCTAAATCCTGATTATCCCAGGCCTCAGTCGAACTTTTGAGTTTGATGCTGCCTACTATCCCGAATTAGTGACATAGTGAAGCGATCCAGTCGACACTTGAAAGAACCTTCTTCAGCCGTAAACACACAACAATGCACAAAAGGATTTCCACTCACTTCACCTGAAACCCGCAGCACAATTTAGGCCAGTTCTGAGTACGCCACAGCCGGATTCATTCGTCAGACAATCGTCTCGATTACAGGAAAATTTGTTGATCATTACTCTCAATCACTCAACATGACCACAGTATAACAGGTGCTACAATACAGACATCCCTCATTTCGGATTATTACTTGATAGCTAACATGTTATATTTTTATCCTCCATCTAGGACTAATTAATATGACAGAGCTCGAGACTCAGTGCTCAATAAACTCGGGTTTATCGAATTGACTGATTAATAATTGGGACACTGTATGAATAAAAATAATGGGTTAGCTCCGAGGATTATTTTTTCCAGAACAAAACCGGGTCTTCAAAGTCAGACTTTCAGTAACGACAAAATTAAATTGGTAGACCTGTTATCATAATTGAAGATAATTATGGAAGCTGGAAGGTCAAACGACCCAGAACACATTTTGTTTGAATGTGATTTGAGATATTTGATAAGGCAAGTCAAGGTACAGCGGTACCGTGTGTTTGGAGTCCTCATTTTATCCCCCATTTGATCCTAACTGTTTTAAACTCGCTTTTGTAAGTTTATAAGTATCAATGATAAATTCAATCAGTAGATGTGACTGCATACCTGTACTTATTCTGCCAGCAGCTCCACGCGAAACGTTTGTTCCTGACAAGGCTAAATCTAAAATTCGGATGAACAAGATGCACACCTGAAATCAAATACCTAGAAAACATGTAGGTATTCAACGCATGAAATCACCTCAGATTTCTCGTTCATACAGCACTACGTTATTTTCATGATCGGTGCAGCCGAACTTTTATTACGGCTAGCGGTACACATCAAATATTTCAAGCATAATATTTTTTGTTTCATAACTAGTGAAAGGAATTTCCAATATAAAATTATCACTGCCAGAAATTTCATGTCAAAACACTTGGAATATTTATTTTTCCAAAGTAAATCATGTCTCAGACTAGATTTTCTTCGCGATATATCCTAATGTTCTGATACTATTCCTTCGTAATGCAATTGTATGTGGCATAACTAAGTTCTCTGTAGGTAGTTTCTCCCTAAGTCCCATGGTACGGTCGAAAGTGGGGGAATTCAGCTCTTACTCCCGAAACAATCTCACATGACCACTTGCTTACAGCCACTAACAGGGAAGTCCTACTCACTACCTTCTCGTGCCATTATTATTGTTTTCAAAGTTAAGAGAACGAAAAGCGAATGTCCTGCTCCCACTGGTTTAGTGGATACGGACAATCTACCTGGGGGTTAGAAAACCCTGATTCCATACCAGTTGTGCATATGGGCTCCAGGATCCTAAGGAAACAAATGCCGTATGAACCTATCGTTGATCACCAGCTAACATGAGACTTCATCTCCTGACGTTGCTCCACTATCCTGGGGATTAGACCTTTAGGTCAAAGGCTCGAAATATGGCCCCCTAAGAAAACTACCTGCTTCGGTTTGGGCACCCGGGCAGTATCCCAGCCGTCACACACAAATCAAATGATGATTTGTGGCGCATGTCTGTTTGGTGCTTCATTGTACCGGTTTTTATGTATTTAAGTAAATAAATTTTCCATTACATCAAAGATGGGGCCTTTAAACTTACCAGATAACCTCACTCTTAACTGTTAATTTACGAATTAATCTGAAGGTGTTTTGCTTTTTTGATGTGCTTGATAACCATTAACGCTCCATATAATCATGGTGAAAATTGTAGCATTTCATTCGTGATGGATTGATTGATATCGCTTTCTTTAGAGACTACACAAAACTAATCACTCAGAAACTCATTTGATATGTTTTCACACACAAATCTATGTTTTGTACTAGATCTAGCTTCTGACTAACAATTTGTTGCTAAAGCATCAATTCTTTCAGTTGATTAGAACTAGTTGTTCCTGTTATGTTTATCTGATTTTTCAAAGTCCAAATGATTTTGATTGAGCCTATTAGATTGTTCTTTAGTTTCTAAATAACAATTCTGATTACTTGTATGGTGTCATCCTGTTATACATTTGGCACCGTTTTCTGTTATACTTGATTGATCCCTAAAATCATAGGAATACATACCTTTGGTAGAGAATGAATGCGTTTTGTGTGGCAACAGAGCTGCTGTTGAATAAAATTTAAGATTCGGGGTATATGTTTTTAACATCAAGAGTAAGCCAGCAATTCGCGGTAACGTTGTGTTCATCTTTACTTCTCATTCATCCAATGTCACTTAGTAACGGCTTATTACAATTAACTGTCTATAATCACGTTTTCTCGACTAGATGAGTGATTGTCTGCATATTGCTACTGGAGAAACCCGTTGACATTGGTGAATGTCGCGTACTCCACTCTGCTTTCAGTGTAAGAGTAATAGTTGGTAACTACAAACTACCTGCATATGAGTATTTAAAATTACATTCGTCAATACTAAGCTTGTAGTGTTTTGTTAAACGTGTATATATTAACATGTGTATTAACTAATGTTCAGCAAAATCCTGTGTTCCTAAACCACCATTAAAAAGTGATCTTGACTCATTCACTCTTTTATTCACACTCTGTGTATCCTTATTATTCTACTTATACAACAGCTCACCTGTGGTGGAAATTCGGCTCTATCCCCGTTATCTGTCCTGCGACCAACAAGTCCCCATCGGCCACCTAAACGACTATCTTCTGTGCCTAGACGCCCGACCTGAGCATTCAAGTCTCCGGCTAGTACTACAATATCTGTCGAACGCACTTTCTGGAGAAGAACAGATAACTGGTGGTAGAATTCATCCTTGATTGCATCCGGGCTGCAAACTGTCGGAGCATAGGCGGAGATGACGAAAAGACATCGTTTCTCACGCCAATTTCTTCTCACTTTGATGGAACTTTCTAATCTAACAGCACATAACCGACTGTTAATGGGGATCCAATTGATTAGTGCTGCCTCAGCTCTAGGGCTTAGTGCGACACCAACGCCAGCAAGACCAGACGATGCCACAGGGTCCCCGAATAAGCGCATGTAAAACAAGCTTTTTGAAGTGACAGATGGAGAGCGAATTTGTAGTACTTCACTAGAGTCTTGAATACGGGTCTCGGATAGACAGCAGACATCGATATGAAGACTTTCCAAAGACATAGCCAGCCCTATCTGTTGTCCGATCTACATAAGTGTGCGAACGTTGAAGGCAGCCAGTTTGAATGGTGCATATGGTTTCAGAAAAACTGTTTGGGTATTCGTATTTGGTGGTAGCATACAATTTTCAACCAGGCAGTGACTCGAGGTCGTTTAGATAGAACAGAATTTCTACTATATGCGAGCTGTTGTATAAGTTTAAAAGTAAGAATGCAAGAGGGTAGATAAGTGACGTAGTACCTAAAAGCTAAAAATATAAGTGGATGTTATCAAATGGGTATGGGTTGTTTGGATTGCAATATGAGTGAGAGTAGTATATTAAATAATCGTTGTCATTTCATTTTAATTGTGTGAGTGCTATAACGGTGCCTTTGACCTAAAGGTCTGATCCACAAGGTAGTGGAGCATCGTGAGGAGATGCAGTCCCATGGTAGCCGGTGACCAACTATTGGTTCATACGCCATTTGTTCCCACAGGATACTGGAGCACATATGCACCATTGGTTTGGGATCCGGTTAAAGTGTCGGACATTCGCTTTTCGTCCTCTCCTTTTTGTAAACAATACCCCCGCCACGAGAAGGCAGTGAGTAGGACTTCCCTGGCAGAGGCTGTATACGCGTGACCGTGTGAGAGTATTTCGAGAGGGAGAGCGAGCTCTCGGCCATACCAGGGCAGAACTGTTCTTTGGGATTTTCTATTGACGAAGGGTGTGCCTGAGAAGTTTATTAACATCCTAAAGGCCCTATATACAAACACCTCAGGCAGAGTGAGGGCATACAACCACCTCTTTCCATTGTTCCATTCAAGCAGTGGGGTTAGACAGGATTGCCCAATCTCACCATTCCTCTTCAACTCTGCCATCGATGACATCCTGGAAACAGCTCTGATGATTGTAAGTAATGGCGGTGTAGATCTGCCTGGAGAAAGACTTCTCGGCCTTGAGTATGCGGATGATAATGTCTTACTGTGCGATAATGCCCAAGCCATGCAATCCGTAGTTAATCAGTTGGCAATCAGTGTACCTACCCTCCGGATAAAAACAACGTATATGGTATCTAAAATTTCCTGCATCTGTTATGTTTTCCATTAGTATCAACTCACAGCTGGTTATTTTAAAAATGTAAATAATACATTGTTGTTAAATGACCTGGTGTTTTAATACTGTGTGTTTTATTTCAGACCCAGGAGCAATATCTTCAACTGATAGAAGTTTCAGTTCCATCATAACTGTACACAATTCAGTTTTTGTTTTTAATGAATAGATTTTAAAGTTTTCAAATCAATCTCGTAGATTACCATCCTTAAAATCTATCAGAATCATTAACATTGAATGTTAAGTATAATTCGGACCAGATGAACCCCTCACATGTTGCATTCGTTCCCATAGGGTTGAGAGACATTCTATAGCCATTACTCTCATATCTAATATAGTATACTAAGTTCATTCGTTCTTTATTTGTTTTGGAAGGGGATTTCGTTCTAAAAGCCGCGTTAAGATCAAATTGATAGTTGTTTGTAAAATGTACTCTAATGTAACAGAGTAACTAACCATGTTTAAGTTCCTAATTTTAAATCATTCAGTTTGTGACAGCTGGTGATACTATCCGTCTGTCAAAATTGAAATAGATGAAATGGAATATGAAACAACCAATGGGTAGCTGGAAGTTGACAAATTTAACCACTAATTTAATAATTGTATTTTTACTGTCAATGAGTGAGTTTGAAATTTTTGGACTGCTTTTTTATGTATTACCATCACTTGTTACCAGTATCAAAAAGCTATAAATGTACAATTATGATAATATAAATATATATATATTACTTTCTTTGTTTTTCATACACTCCTAGTTACGCCACACAATAAGCTTTATGGTGGAATTTGAAAAAATATGGTGTTCCACTTTACCACTGAGCTAATGAATTTCTTTATGACTTGAAAAAATATGTCAGCTTATCGAATGTATCGTTTACTTTATCAAAAGTTTCATTTCTACAACTATAACATTCAGGGAAGATTTTTCAGTAAATCAAATTATAAAATTACTACATTATTTGAAAATGCAACAAAGCAGGATATTTCGAGATCATACATTAACTCTGTTTTATCACCATTAGGTGATTTTACTGTTTCAGTTAGTGATTGTAGAGATATGAACAACAACTTACCTTCAACTCACTTATCATTTTGGCCTTGTCTTCTGAACTACGCTGGTTATCATGATTGTCCTGAATTAAGAAGATCATTAACCAACTACATTTTGAGTGATATAAATGAACATAGCAATGCTACATTAATGTGTACATTAAAATTGTTAGGCATTCAAGAGCGTTATACTGAATTCAAAAGTTTGTACGATTATCTTTTGCTTCGATTAAATGCCGTAGAAAAAAAAGTTTTTCAAAATGATATAGCAAAATCGGTCGCACGGACGCCGTTTTGGAGAGACACACCTGAATTATTATTCTCTTCAGAAACGAAAAAATGTGATAATTCAGCAATTTATGAACAAATGTGTTCTTCCTCCTTAAAATTTGGTACTATCTCTTCTTTTTTTGAATGTATGCACAAACTAAGTGGTTCACCACGAGAAAATGTTTTCTATGAATTTTTTAATAAGTTAAATGGGCTAGAAGAAGAAGAATCTGTTCGTTTAGTCAGTCAGTTATTTCAAATAATGCAAACACATCGATGGATAATTACTTATGAGATTGCTGAATGTATTCAACGTTGGTTTGCAAATTTGAAGCATGAACGTTGGTCAGGAGTTTTATCTGCATTTGTTAATAGGTTAGTTGTTACTAAATTATTATCAATCCGCTGTCAAACCGTAAAATTTCTATAGAGGCTATCTATGTTCAGTATGTAGAAAAAGTCTACCACCACCAGACATGTCACAGTTTCATTTTTCCCAAATGGCTGATACATTTTATGAAACAGTGATAAAGGTAATGTGCACATTTTTTAGAATTTGATCTTGTTTTACTAATTCCAGGGTACAGATATTGAAAGTTTATATCTAACAGCAACATCGAATGAAGTTATGACTCTAAAACGATTTGTTGATTCTCAAAGTGAACCCTTAGACTGTATTATCGATTTTATGAATCTTATGAATATGCGCAAACTTTTCTCTTCCGATTCAGCAGGATTGCAGGTTGCTGAGGTAACGTTAACTTGCTCAACAAGTAACTCAGCAATTTTAACTATTTTCATTGTTTACTGAAGTTCTCAGTACAAATTATCATGTACAGGTTTATGTACTCAGTGTTTAGCTACACTATATCGTGCAGAAGTTAATAATATAATCCTTATTCTAAAACAAAAGCGAGTGGATCCGAGTTCGAATACACCACATGCAGGTTAAACGGAAATCACTTTACCTACTAAGCTACCACTCAAATATTAGTAGTTTAGTATTCGACTTTAAACCACTAGAGTGTGACTGTAAAAAAGTTATTGTTGTTTGCATTTAAATATATGTTTTATATTTAGTTCAGTAACCTGAACTACTCAGTTATCATCCGTTCTTACATAAACTAGTAATTTAACCTTCTTTACAGCCAATATTCCTGCTAGTAAGAAGGGTTATATTTTCAAGATAATTGGTATTAATTTTTGATGTTGACTTTGTCTGTTTCTGTATCCGACAAATAACATACATACACAAGTAATAAGCTCCCAAGTATTCAAACCACGCTATTGCAGCAGTTCATTTAGTTTCTATTTATTAGTATGAATCGTATAACTAACTAGATATCTTGATTAATCCCAATTAGACAGTCAGTCAATGGTTGAAGAAAATGACTCAGCTCATTAAGTGTCGGCGTTACAAAATACTGTTCATGTTCCACCTAAATCTTTAATATCATTTTAAGCATTGTCATTTGAAGTCCTTGAATATAGTTGGTAGTGAGTATTAGCGGAGTCCAGGACGCGTGTTTCGTCATATTCAGGAGTCGTTATTTAGATGTACCTGTTTTCTAATATAGGCGTTCGAACCGTGACTCAAACCCAGCATCTTGCTGAAAAAAAAGAATTATTTGCGATATTGAAGCAATCCGTTCAAGGTGGAAATATGTTAAAGTAGACTAAACAGTCTCAAACCTCCAACAACAGGAAGATTCAAACACTTACAAAAGACCATTAAAAGTCCTAAAATTGTTGTCTTCAAGCTTTCTATTACTTGTGTACATCGTTTTTACTTTTGTTTTCTGTTCTGCTTTTTAATATAATGTATGACTACTCGGATATTCACCTACATTAAGGTATTACGCGGCCTCTCTCTCTGACTTTTGCAAGTAACAGACATCCATATTTTTATACTAAGTACAAATAAACTATTAATTACCGATGATCTATTTCAATGACTTATAAGAATCATCATGCTTCAAATCCTTATGATTTAGTTAGTTCCCTTTTAAATTGTGTAATGATTTTGACAATTCACAAGTCATTTCCACAGAAAAGCCAAGTTAGTTTATTTCGGCATGGTATTTAACTTAATCATCAATATCCTGGTTAATATATAAGACGGACTAACAAACCGGTTTTGTTCTTGATCGGTTATAGTTATCAGAAAGCAGTCACTATATGTAGTTGTTCGGGATACTATATTCCCCAAAACGGCGTAAAGCATTGAAGCTAACAGCTAGTTCGTGAACGAAATTAAATCCAGTCGTTAGAACGGAATATGATTATGACAGAAAAGCAGTAACTGTGTATCCAAAGCTAATTGATTATTCATATTAAATTGTCATATGTAATACCTAGGGATACTACCCCTAACTCAGGGTCTGAAAAGTCGGAAAAATGAAAATTTCGCAAATGCGATAAAAATGATCTTGGTGGTGTAATTATAGCATTCCGACATCAGACAGTGGGTTTTAAGCGTTATTTAAGCCCTAACGCTTCAGGCTGGGCTACTTCGCTTACTACCCTATACATGTGTTGTATGCAATATAAGCTATATGGCTATTTAGAGCTGAAGGTCTCATATGAGGCTGGAGGTTCGCCATTGTTATTGTGGACGGTTCGGCATTGCTTTGGCAAGTTTTGCTGACTGTTCATGCAAAAATTGGTTTGCTGGTTAACCGATTTCATTCATACTGGTGGTTGCTTTTCAGTGTTCCCGAGGGCCATTGTCATTGGGACATTGTAAGGCATGCCGCCATTGCTAATATTAACGAGTTTGACTGTCGTGTAAGCGGAATAGGTCAACTTTGGCCTGTTCGTGCTGTGCATAATTGATTCACGCGATCATTGATCGGAATAACTATACATGTGATGTGAGCGTGTATATGAATGGTGCGAATGGTCCACCAGGGTGCTTGGTACCTGTGTGGTTGCGCCACAGGATTGAGCTGTACTATTCAGATTGTAGCGTTAAAGCCTGTACGGTGTCTGGTTCCTCCGCTAAACGGGGTTGAGCTGTACTGTTTGGGTTTTTGCGTGAAAGTCTGGATGGTGTCTGGTTCTCCTGAAAACCAATGTAAAATTACCCTGGCCCACAAGGGTATATTATATAACTAATAATATGTAATACCTAAGCTAGTCTGTCTAGTGCTTTTACATTTCATTCGTCTATCCAGCTGTTCCGGATTTTACATCCCCCAAGACAACGTACAGTGAAGGGAATCAATCTTAATTATTCACATTGATTTGAGATGATTTTCGCTCAGTTAACTCCAACACACTGCCGTAACTTCTATTCATTAAATTTCAGTATCTGCCAGTTGTATCAGTTATTTGATTCTCAATAGACTTTCCTTATAATGATTACTTCACTAGGATTTTGTATTCGGTGACAATTACTTAGGTAACAAAACTCTGTAACTAATAGTCACTGAATCAATATATAACTGAATTAGCTTGGACGTAAATCCAATCTCATCAAATAAACGTTTTTAATAGGATGTGATTTATGGAGTAGTTGAAGACGGGGGGCAAGTCTGAAGCGAGTAAGAGTGTTTTGTATGGTATCACAGTTATCACTATTTATTCTACATCAATAACAATAGGGTAACCTAGTTTAATGGCCACCTCTGCACTACTCAAGCTTTTTTATCTCATGAAGATACTGTCATCAGATTGAGTTGACTGGTTAGTAAAATAAAACATTTATCTCATGAGTGTCTCAGACTTCTTGTCACAATTTTTGCTCACTTTTTATGAAATTGTTCTTTTCGTAATCTGATGCTTGACAATTGATGTTATTTATCTTTTTATGATTTTGTTGCTCTTGTATCGTTAATCTGTATAGTAGATTTACGTATACGTGCTTTTTGGTAAATATCTCATTTTATTATCAAGTTCAAGTGGTTCTATTACAGTATTTGGATTTGAAAGCAGTAGGCTTTTCGGAGTTACCTCAATAAATCTCTTAATTAAGGTTTTAATGTATATTGAAATCAACGATATTATCATGGCTTTTTAAATACTCATAATATTCACGAATCCTTGGAGCCGTCAGTAGTACAATAACCAACGTATTTGTAATCACAGTTTTTGAACCTTAAGTTGGGGTCTCTATTTTTCGTTGCAGATATTTCTCAGTGACTTTTAAATCATCCGAAACTATTGCGTTGTGAATTTGTCTAACAAACCAGTGCAAGATTGTGATAACTATCTAGGGAACAGAAAGTGGAATACTTCGTTCCTCATTACCATTATATTCCACGTAATATAACAAATTAGCACTTGGAAAAAGTTATGCTCCTCCAAGCGGCTGCACATCTCAACACAAAAATGTACGGGAAATAATTGAGTAGATGTATTATGTAAATGTTTACATCCAATATATATATATATATATATATATATATATATATATATGCGCGAAGCATTTTCTTCTTGATGACTGAAGTACGACTTTATCTCTCCCGAATATAACCGTGTCTGTCTAGATTGGGTACAATAAGTTTCACTTCTTCTGACCACCACGTTGTATCCCTTCATTACTGCAGCTATTTGACTGGACCAACCACATTATGCGGGCATTCTGTGTACCTATATTAATTGTTGCTCTGGTTGTCAGAAGAGGCATCATACTCATGATTTCCGAAGAATCTCAGCTTTCACTATGAACCGTCATACTTCTAAACCAAGATCCTTCAACACACAGGCAAGAGTTTAAGTGGTTTAAATTCTTTTCTATGGTTAGTATTTTTTAAAATAGCAATGTCGTCTTCTACGGGATGGAGTTTCTGACCCCATTGCTCAACCCATTCCGTTTATCCAAGCCTGGGACCAACAGTAGCCCTAGGAGGCCTACAGGTAGAGATATGTAATCTGCCTGCCTCCAGCTGTTTAACAAGTAATAAATATCTTACAAATCGTCTTTCTCGGTTTACAACTTACAGCTTAAAACACAAGAAAGCTTAAGTTCTGCATTTTATTCGAAGATCTATACACTTCTGATCAGTGACTTTTTTTATCTAAACTGTTTTTGTTTAGGTTTTGAGACAGATCAACAAAGATTTCAATCTTCGGCGTTTTTGTTTTGTCAGTAAAGGGAATACGATCATACGCAAATCAGAGTTTTGGAATCCAATTAAAATGTTAGGAAATCAGTTGGGTATCTCTGTTCAAAAATTCTGTACAAATTCTTCGTAAGTCTATATATATATGTTAAGTTTGTCGTACATTGTTCTTACTTGCTTCCTCTCCACTTTTGTATATTGTTTTGTACTACTTACTTACACTCAGTAAGCAGTTTATTCCCAGCAATTTTACACTTATGTTGTAGTGTAATATTCTGAAATGTTCACATATACCTATAACGTTTATTGTATTCATCATTATAATTACTGTACCTTAAACACTGTAGCGGTTATCCACAGTTTTTTGCATTTGTTTAAGCACCGCCGTTTCCATATTGTTTTGCTCTTAGTTCGGGTTGGATAAGAATTATCCAATCAGCGTGCACCAAAGCAACCATGGATTGAGCATGCTTTAATCCAGTCTATGTCCGCTAACATACTGTTACGAGAAGCCTTTTTATTTCATACTTGAAGGACACGTTTAGATGCATCAGACACCTGACAAGTTGAGGTTTGTAACTAAATTTTGTGTATTGTTCAATAAAGAACCGCTATTGTAGACAAATCGTTGTTTTGAGAACTTCGGTTTTGCGCGTTTCTGAATCGGGTGACTTGGACGCTTCGATAGAACTAACAATATCTTAAACCTATTACCCCTCGTGGAGGAACATAGGACGCCCACCAGCATTCTCCATCCAACTCTATCCTGAGCAATTCTTTCCAGATGCTATTCCTCCTTTTGATGTTTGCTTCCGATTCTCGATGTAGTATGTTCTTTGACCTTCCCCTTTTCCATTTCCCTTCATGATTCCAGATAAGCACTTACCTCGTGATGCAGTTTGATTGTCTCCGAAATTTGTGTCCTATCCACCTCCAGTGACCTTTCCTGATTTCTTTTTCATCTGGAAGCTGGTTTGTTCTCTCCCACAGGAGGTTGTTGCTGATGGTATCTGGTCAACGGACATTTAGTGCCTTACGTAGAGAATTGTTTATAAATACCTGTAATTTTTTGATGGTGGTTGTAGTAGTTCTCCAAGTTTCAGCTCTGTACAGTAGAACTGTGTTGACGTTCGTATTGAAGATTATGACTTTGATACTGGTCGACAGTTGTTTTGCGTTCCCTATGTTCTTCGATTGTAGGAATGCGGCCCTTGCTTTACCGATCCTCTCCTTTACGTCTGTATTGGATCCTCCTTGTTCATCGATGATGCTGACCAGGTACGTGAAAGTTTCCACATCTTCCAGAGCTTTTCCGTCAAGTGTGATTTGGTTGGTGTTCTCCGCGTTGTATTTGAGGATCTTGCTTATCCTTTTGTGTATGTTGAGGCCTGTTAATACAAAGGCTGCTGTTACACTAGTTGTCTTCATCTGCACTTGTTCGTGCGTATGGGATAGAGGAGCCAGGTCATCTGCGAAGTCCAAATCGTCTAGTTACATGCAAGCTATCCATTGTATTCCATGTTTCCCTTGATATGTGGTGGTCTTCGTAATCCAGTCAACCACCGGAAGAAAGAAAAAGGGTGAGGGTAGACAGTCGTGTCTGGCACCGGTCTTCACTTCGAAAGCATCTGTCAGCTGGTGTGCCTGAACGACTTTGCAGTGTAGTCCGTCGTATGAATTCCAGATGATGTTGAAGATGTTCTCAAGTACACCATGGTGTCGAAGAAGATGGTATAAAGTTTTCTTGTCTACACTGTCGAACGCTTTCTCATCGTCAAGGAAGTTGATATAAAGTGACGAGTTCCATTCAATTGCTTGTTCAACGATGATCCGTAGTATTGCGATTTAGTCTGTGCACGACTGATTTTTGTGGAATTTGATGTTCTGATCTCAAAGTTGGGCGTCTACTGAGTATTTCATCCAGTTCGTGAAGATTCTGTTGAAAACATTTCCTGGTACCGATAGTAGTGTGATTTCTCTGTAGTTTTGACATTTGCTCAGATCTCCTTTGTTTGGTATCTTGATGAGGTATTCTTCTTCCCAGTCTTTCGGCACTTGCTCTTCCTCTCAAGTTTTCCTGAATAGAACATTGAGTGTCTTTTCATCAGTGATTTCTGTGTTTGACTTCAGTGCTTCAGCTGGTATGTTGTCTGGTCCTGCAGCTTTCCCACTCTTGGTTTGTCTGGTAACCATGCTGAATTCCTCGATGGTTGGTGTAGTGATATCTATAGGAAGGCCAGTGTGGGTTACTTCGATGTCTGGTGGGTACAGTGGCCTGGCGTATTCAAGATTTCTTCAGTGTTCTACCCACCTGTTCCCCTGTTCTTGAATCTGAGTGATTAGCTTACCTTCTTTGTTGTTGATTGGTTGCTGTGGTTTATAATATTTCTCTGCTATTTTCTTCTTGGCACCATGTAGTTGTCTCATATTTCCTTCTTTTGCAGCTATTTCCGCTGTCGTAGCATGGTCTTCCACATTTTACTGCTTGTCAGCTCGTCTTCACTAATTGGCTTATGTCTATTCAGTGTATGCCTTTGCTTTCTCTGCTCTTGTCCGGCTGTTGTTAATCGCTGTCTTATTATTATTCTTTTCTTGAATCTTGTCCAGGGTTTCGATAGTGATCCATTCCCTATGATGGTGCTTCTTGCGACCCAGTACTTCCCGACTTTTTGATCCCTTTTCAGTTGTCCTCCATAGTAGTTTCCTCTTTTCTGTTTAGATCTTGTAAATCTTCCAACCCGTTGTTGAGAATTATTTCGAATTCGTTGAGTTTGTTGTTGTCTCAAAGGTAGACTATATTAAACCTTTTAATGATATTTACTCAGTTGTCCACTGTTTCTTCAGCTTCAATTACATCTTGGCAACTACCAAGTGATGATCTGAAGCTATGTCAACTCCTCTTTTGGTTCTCACGTATTCCATTGACCTTCAGAAAGTTTTAGTAATGCATGTATGATCTATCTTGTTCTCTGTAGTGTGGTTCAGATCCCGAAACTGCTTATTACCTATCCTTCATGGTTAATCTGTACAGGACGGCACTTGTAGTTAAAATATACAGTACTTCTGAATCCCAACTCATTGAAACTATTTGAATATATACTATTCATCAAAAAACAACTGTAGGACTAAGGCTGAAGAAATAATTTTGACCGTTGTCCATTTACAATAGGATATCTCTACACGTCTTTGTATTTGTTTTATCTTGTCTAGACTAAGTTTTCTCCTTATTTAGATCAGAAGACGATGTATTCCTCCTCTATATGGCGATGAAGTCTGGGCCACAGTGTTATATAGTATCTAATGATGAATTCAAACAATATCGTTTTTCATCAGGTCCAGAACTTGGAGAACAAATTTCTCGGTGGCAGTCTCTCAGACAACTTGTACTACAACCTCGTGGTCGGATATACCAAGTAAGACTAGTTTTGAATGCAAGTTCGTCTTAAGCTTCTGCACAGCTTTTACTATTGCTAACTAATAATTTCAAAACCATTATTACTGCAACTGCATACCAATCTAATTACTTCGTGTTCCTAGGAATTCTTTTATTAGGAATCGTGGATGCGCAATGCTAAGGAGTCTCGTACTAGATCGAAACGGCCGTCCAGTGCCTCCAGGTTTTCCATGGTGGTCTAGATTCAATTGACTCATGATTTCAATTTGTGAAATTTCTAAAATCTCCACAAACCCCTTCTGATAATTACATATTTGATAGCCAGTAAGTTGCGTGCCGCTTTGTCCCACACTCAGTGACTAATCAAATTTAATTTCACTATCGAACACCATTCTTCCTCTACTAATCCTGCTCCATCTTCTACTTTTTCAACGTGTTACATCAACTCTAAAGATTCGATTCAACAACATGCTGTACTAGGTCGTCCGAAACCGTTCTTTAGTGCTTGAACTCTGTGTAAAACTGAACATCAGTCGTCACTAAGATGAAAGCCTCGTGCCATTGATGTGTGCTGTGACTCTAACTACTCATATGGTCATTCACTTGACCTCACCAAACCACTATGGAGTTGCGACGGAAACTTTTCATGTTCTTGGCGGTGTAAGTATAGGGCCAAGTGTAAGAGCTAATTAGACGCTTGTCAACTGAATCCCTGTCGACACCCTCACATGTTACCCGTCTTTGTGTCTCGGAAAGATAGGAACACGCCGTTGCCTCTTCGTTGTTTGTGCCTATGCCCCAGTAACTGCAGCTCAAATGGAGTAAAGAGCAAGTTTTACATGTAAATTTTTGACCTTCAAAAAACGTGCTCAGACGTAGCCACAGCAACCAATTTTAACGCCCAAGTAGGAAATTGAGTCAAACTAAAAAGCACTTGAATTCCATGATGTCCCAGCCTAACAGACAGTGACAGTCTACTGCACTTTTGTTCAGAAGACCGGTGGTCCCTAGTAAGCACAAATTTTACGCATAAAGAAAGATACTGCGTAATCTGAGGATCCCCAAAATTAACACAACAGTGAGGACAAATAAATGAAATTTCCAACAACTATTGTTAGAGAACATCAACAGAAGACTGGCGCTCCTACTACTGTGCATGCCTGTATCTCGATCATGCCTTAGCGAGAGCTTTAGTGGACATAAAGATGTTACAGAAAGACCTAGATATAAGTTCGAAGACCTAAAATGTCAAAGATGCATTTAGGGAAGAATTATCTGAGTACCTAAAGGATCTTGCAGCAACAAATTATCGTTACCAAGCCTTAGAGAGATATGTGACATCTATCAACAGCTTGAATCAAATGGTTACGAAAGACTAGTGGACTTCAGTGCCATTCGTAAAAACTACCAACTATCCCCATTTTCATACACATAGTTCTTTTTGTTATCTTGAAGAGAGCAAGAACGAAGATTTATGCAGAGTAACATTCATTTATTTTATTTCATTAGGTTCTTATCAGCTGCTTACAACCTGTAATATTTTAAAATCAACGTTAATTGATATACTCATAAATACGGAGGTGATTAGAAATGAATATGTGTATCATGATTTAGAGTTAATAAGGTCGTAAAAATCTTGTTTCGGTAAATAAAGTTTGGGAGGGAAACTTCCTGATCATTAAAATAATGATTAGAACTCTTGGAGTTAACAAACACTAGATGATTATGTGATGGAGCAACTGAAAAAAGATTAATGGTAATAAAGAAAGATATGAATTGAAGGCGATCATTTAAGACTTAAAGAAAAATTACAATGATGCAATCAAACTTCAGAAAAAGGCGAAATTATGAAGGATGTAATGTTACCAGGACAAAGAAAGATTTATTACTGCCTCTTTTTAGATAAATAGATCTGGATTCGGACGTTTGATCGCTATCGCTTCGGCAAATTTGAAAAGATTGGAGTTTGTTTGTTAATCACTTTAGAAGACTTCAGTGTATCGACTTCATGTCCTGTGTCAAGTAGATGTTGTGAGTGGCATTACTGAATGTATCGACGAATGACCTGAGTCATGTTAACAAGTGTAGACTACCTGACTGGAGACTGAGTAATATAGATCTTAATGACGCAGGTGCATTCACTCTATTTTCCCTCTTATCTTAAATCCCAGGATACCTTCATACATAGTCTCCCAGTCTTTTCAAACCATATACCTAAGATCTAACCCTTTTTTATCATTACTCCCACATTAATTGGATGTTTTCTTACCTCGTGTTAATGTGGCATGGTAGCTTATGCCAACGCATACCTATGGCAGGCTCAATTTTGTTTATGTACATCTGTCACAATTTTTGGTTGCTGTGCATACGTTTCCCATGTTTCAATTATAAATGGCTTCGTCCCTTAATTTCTCGCCCAAAAGGAGTGGTACAGTTAAACTTATTAACTCTACCATAGAATGGATCTCTACTTATTATTTAAACACGTAAACATTAGTACAAAGTCACTCTGGCTTTCACCACAAATGAATTGATCTCATCATTTGCTCCACCATCAGCTCTTATATAGCTAACCAGATATACGGACTTCTCGATAACTTCTGTCTGCTCACTACCCAGAATAAGTGGAGGTTCAGGCTCCTGTCAGCCATGCACTTGGAAGGTGACAAGCACATGCCATACCTACGGACGCTGGTTTCCAGCTGAATAAGTGCGTATTGCATGGCTTGGCTGTTACCACACAGTAAGACAATATCATCCGCATACTCAAGGTGGAAAAGTTTCTTCAGGCAAGAGATCTACTTCGTCATTACTTACGTTAATCTGAGGTGTTTCCAGAACGTCATCGATGACGAACTTGAAGAGGAATGGTGAGCTTGGGCAATCCAACCTAACACCACTGCTTGAATAGAACAATGGAGAAAGGTGGTTGTATTTTCTCACTCTGTCTGAGTTGTTTGTATATAGGGCTTTCAAGATGGTAATGGACTTCCCAGGTACACCCTTCTTCAATGGATACTTCCAGAGTACAGTCCTGTCCAACCAATCGAAGACGATCCTAATGCAAAGAAACACAACGATTGTTGGCCTGTGATAAGTATGACGATGTTGTAACATTTGGCGGAGGATGAATATATAGACCGTATTTCCCCGAATAGAATCCGCGAAGTTGACGGAAATCGTGTAGAACGATATGCCTCAAGGAGTTGTAAGTAGCTTGTAGAAAACGCAGTGCGTATAAGCGGAACATCTAGCGAACCCGCAAGCGACTTTATTTGCCGTTCCCATGGCATCATTTAAATCCAGCCGGTGCTGGTCTATACTTCTCTGTGAGCTGACAGCCATCCTTGGACCTAGCCCGGTTTCATACATAGTTGCAATAAAGGCTGCATTCAACTTGGTTACATCGATCCGTTTAGGGAAGTAAATTGTTAGCCATCAAAAATTAATATAAGATTGGCGCAGACGAAGACATGATCAGATCCCAGATAAGTGCTCTAAAAGAAGCGGCGGTCTCCTACACAGCCACGACGGCATTAGCTGACGCCGATGGGACCAATCTGAGTCCGGGCTTGAGATTTAGTGAAAGAACGCCATGTACTACATTGGAAATGACTGTCGTGCCACCAGAAAATTCCTGTAGGTCACAAAAACGACTGGTTAGTGCAGTATTCGTGTGAGGATGTGACTTGAGACCGTTTAAGAAGGACTTCCCACCATAGATGTGCTACCTAATGAATATGTACAAAATAAAATAAACAAACAACGTAATCTAAAAAAAGGACGAATGGTACTGAATAGTTCTCATGATGATGGTTGGAGTCGGCATAATTTTCCCGTTGTGGGCACCATTTGAGTTGTGTGAACTAGAATTCTGCCCAGGTGCCCAAACGGTAGCAGGTGGTTTTCTTAGGAGGTCGCTGTCCGACCGTTTGGCCCGAGAGTTCCGATCCACAAGCAGATACAGCCTCATGGTAACCAGTGACCAAGGTTAGGTTCATACGCCATTTGTTTCCTTAGTATCCTTAGCCCGTATGACCATAGTTTTGAAATCAGTTTTCCAATTCTCCTAGGTGAATTTCCCGTACCACCAACCCGGCTAAGACTACATACATTCCCTTTTAGTCTACCAAAACAGATGTTTCATATGCAATAACCGCTGCGAGAGGGTAGTAATTAATGTTATGTCTCATAGCCTGTCAAATATCACGTGACAAAATCGCTAGTCAGAATACTGACTATATGACTCTGTCCCTATGTTGAACCAATGATAAGTTAACCAACTCTGTGTAGTATGTACTTGCCTAGCCCAAAATGTAAAATCCAGCCTCTAATATATCAAGCATGTTTCAGACACATGCGGTTTATATACAAGCAGACCAAACCGTAAAGCATAAAATGTAAGCTGAATGTCTACGAGCGGATATGGACAGTCTCACCCCAAATGCCCCGGTACGGCCAATATTGGGAAGTCCGCTCTCCCTGTCGAGATGCTCTCACATGGCCGCGCGTACACAGCCACTGCTAGGGAAGTCTTACTGTCTTATCACGAGGAGGGGCGTTTACAAAATCGAGAGGACAGAAACCCAACGTCCGGCGTTTTGACCTGGCTGATCGATATGGAAAATCCATCTGTGGGAGAAAACGTGCTTCCAAAACAGTGGTGCACATGACCTCCAGGATCTTGAGGGGACAAATGGCGTGCGAACCTAATATTGGTCACTAACTACCATGGGACTGCATCTCCTTACGTTGCTTCACTGCCTAGTGGATTAGACATCTGGGTCAAGGGGTCGGGCTGCAACCCCCTAAAACAACATTTCGGTTTTAGCTTCTGGGCACTATTCCAGCCTTCACAAATATCGAATGACGGAGTGTGGAACTTACATATTTAGTGCCTCTTTGTACCAGTTGTTTAAATTAATAAATGGAGAACCGGTGGTCTTGCAGTTTTAGTTGACACCATAAATTCCAGTTCGTTTTCATCATTACCTGGATAAAATTTTTAAATATATTTATTCTTCATATTGTTTACATGGATTTGCATGTTATCTTTCAGAAACCCTCAAAGTGTGACTTGTGTATACATGGTAACCTAGAAACCGGTTGGCACATCCCTTATTATAAAGGGCACCACCAGAAATTCCACACTGCAGTCGATTCGTGGCTTTGTTTACATCGTTTGAAATAAATTTTTGCGGCAAGACATTCGTTTTCATAGTTCATACCCTTAAACAATTTTTAAGTGTAAATACATAACAAAAAATATTTTGAGTTCGTTGTCAAGTCTCAAGTTTACATCATAATTTTCGTTTTAGTAGTTGGTCCAGTACGGTACTTTGCAGAATACACCTGCTATTTTCTAAGTAATGGCTTGTCCTAGTATCACATAACGAAGCTTGGACAAATAAATACTAGATGTGTGATTGAATGTTGTAGTAATGGTGATGGTATGTCGACTATGCGTAGTTGGTGTATGATCATCCTTGCTGCATAACTATTACGGGACAAATGGCTAATGTATCATTCGATATCCTTACAAATTGAACTGCGGTAAATTAACGTGTTTAAACGACATTTTGCAGGTAACTAAATGTTGCTAGATTTTAGTCAGTAATACTGCTCTGGATATCCGGCTTAATTCCTACCTATTTTGTAAGACATATGAGTTATGTTTTGCTAATAGCTTATATTTTGGATATTTATTAGTCTGCCATTTTCAACCTACCTCAATGTATTCTTTCTGGTATATGAGTAGGTGTAAATAAAGTTAGAGGCGGCAAATTCTATACGGCACCAGTGCATGAACGCATTGGCAAGCGGACTGAACCATGTTACTGAGTGTAGACTACCTAATTGTCGTCCTCGTGATAACTGCAATCAGTGGTTGAAGACTTAGTATTAAATGGCTCACAATCGTTCGTAGTGACGCAGATGTATCTACTAAGTCTTTTCATCCTGATTTTTTCAATTATGGGTTTCCTTTATTCCACTGATCGATGTATTCGATTCCCCATTTTTCTATTACCACTCATAATGTTACTACCTTTGCGTCTTTGGGATTTGCCCTGACAATCTGATCTTGTTCAAATGGAGTATGGCTTATTAAACCGATGTACACACGTATCAAGTTTTAATGACTACAAATTTGGTTAATACTGTCGCAATTTTCGGCAACTGAGATCTAATAGCTATGTTTGCCACTGGAACGCAGGCCAAGGGATTAAATCAACCAACTTAAGTTTATTTTCCCAAAAATCTAGGAAGTTACAGGATGTGACGAATCGGCACATGCATTTACTATGTTATGTATCTACCTTCAACCTTTAAATTGTCATAGATACCAAATCCTGTTCTAGATGCTTGCTTCTGGACTGATCTGAATCAGTGGCTATTCTAGTGTTACAGTGTATTGCCTGTTTCACTTGTTCCAGAATTTCCACCAGTAGTATTGTTTCGGACAGTGATGAAACCCAAGCACTCGTAAAATTTGTTTCCTTGACTATACAAGTTATCTGTCAAGCAGCAGTTCTTTTTAGATATGATCTTTAAAAGTGGATACATGAAATTGCTGTTATTACATATTCCTCGAAGCACTGCTTGCATGTGTTCGGATCACCGTATGATCGGTGTTGAGGCAAAGTTTGATGAACGTGATAAAGACGTTAAACTGATGCGTGACTGAGACAGGCCCAGCTACACCCTACTCCTACCCTGTCCTTGGATGTTTAAAGCTAGGTGGCATCATGAATATAGTAGTTAATCTATTACTTGCAGTAAAAAATCGTGATACTCTCCCATTGAGTCACAAAGCTTACTATAAAGATATATCTATTCCTATTACGAGCATGTTAGTGTATACCGAATAGAATAAATTAGCCAGTAAACTAAACTATTGAAGTATAGAACGCGAACTTCATGAACATGTATTCTTCTCAGAAACATAACTAAACACAAAGTTTTTACATAAAAATAACTTCTAACTGCCAATAGAGCATGAATAAGAAAAACAGCGTGAAGGAGTACATAGAAAATAACAAAGGAAATAAATCGGGATATGCTACAGGAGGTTTAATCAGTGAGTCACCGATAATCAAGATACTATAGCCAATAAGAATAAAAAGAATGATAGATATAGAGATGATATTATTACTCGTAGCACTATTTTGTAATTTCTTTTTCTCAGCAACATGTTTATCACTATTGTTATATTTAAGTATTATAAAACAGCCTAGAATGGTATGTATACATGTTAAACATAAACTAGCCAATTGTAAACCGTCCTTTTTAAATAATGGCCACATACTAAGAGTAGAGCATATAGAGAACAAAAATGACGATATGGGATAAAAAGGTAGCAAACACAAAGCAGGGATAGACACTAACAAAATTGATTTTTCATGAACTTGGAAGGAAAATAGGTAGAAATTTAACGCACATAGTGCTAGAGAAATCAGGAATTTTTGATTTTTAGACTTCTTTAATAAAACTATACAAAATGGAAGGCATGTAGTCAGTACGAGCAGGACACTAACCCACACCAGTTTAGTAGACGATAATGTTGAGGATGACGTAGGAAGTGGTGAACGCCATTTTACTAGCGGTGATGTAGCACACCAAAAATTAGATACTTTATCTTCGTAAATACCGCGATCAAACGGAAATAAACGTCGGACGACTTGAAATGAAAGATTCAAATCGGTTGTTAGTAAAAACGGTGCAAATATCAAAAATACTGTCAAGAAAACGACACAGCTCAGCCTAGCTAGATGTGTTATTCCAATGCGCACGGATTTTTTGTAAATACAGTTGCTTAATAAAAAGAAAAAAATTGGCAACGCATGGTATAGTTCCATTTGTTTATAACCTATGGCTAGACAAAATAATATAGAACCGAGCATATCCCACTCTAGGAGGAGGAAATTAATTCCGCTCAAATACAAACCAAGACTGACACAGTTATATTGGAAGTGTCCATGGTCAATCAATATAAGACCAGGATAAGTTAATGTTAGGCATGCTGAATAAAATCCACTAATTTGTGACTTATTCATAATGCTAGGTAGAACATAATAAAAATACAGTAATACGGAAGGTATAAAAAACAATAAGTCAGCTACCAGTACAGTATAACGCATAAACAACTTGTGCTCTTTAGATTCGAAGCCTCTCGATGTGTACAACTGAACCCAATCACGGTCAATTTTATTAGCTAGTTTACCCATCAGCCAACTATGATATGCCGTAACAGGTGGATAATCTAACCCCCAATAATTCAAATCATTATGTGTTGAGTTGATATACCATTCTGCGAATGGTAAATTAACGGTAATTTCCATCCAATGACGTTGAGCTTCATAGTCACCATACATGGGTGGTTTATTTTCGCCGGAATATGAGTGTAAACTGGTAGATGAGCGCAAGGCTATTCCAATGAACATAGGTAGACAAATTTTAACCAATTTATCGACATTCGCATTGACCATGACTATTACGATCCGTTGTACTACAAAATTGGATAGAGAAAACCAAGTCGTTCGGTTAATATCTAATAAGCAGTAAAACGCCGTTACTTAATTACAAATACCTCAAGATAAATGAGATACTACAATAAATACTGGGAACTTTTTGGAAGATATTTTGGATTAGAGTCACTAGTAAACGTTAACTTACCAACAATAAAGCAAGTTTTGCGTAGCATAAATGACCACATTAGGCCTAAAAGATAATTTTAGTTGTTTATAGACCATATAACTTAGTTCGTTGTATATTATAAAACCACAACAGTCCCAAGTCTTCGAACATTTTAGTATCTCTTATTCGAAATATTCATTTTCAACGACCAACCACTAAAAACCTACTTAAGCACGTGTACGTAATTGCTGTCCTTCAAAAGCAATTTCTTCTAGGTACATTGAAAAAACGCGAATTTGATAATAGAATAAAAGATGAGTAAATTCGAAATACTATCCTACAAGAGCATAGGACTTAATACCAATAGTATAAGTTACATTTTCTAAGTTTATAATTCTTTGTTCGCTCTACATGATGGCTTTTTCAGCTCACGGGAACTAGTTGATACACACCGCATACTAAGATACGAAAATGTGACGAGTCAGGAACAGTTTATTTACCCTTGCACAAAATGAGAAAATTTTAATATTCACATAGTTGTTACTACCTTAATATTCGTAGGGAAAGCGTGCTTCGTGAAGTTGATGAGTGCTATCCCATTGAAAGTAGTAGCAAAGTGTAGAAACATGGAATGATGAATGTATTTCTAGCAAAATCTAACACACAAGTTATATGACTTGTGATACCAGATAATTTGTGAGTCTGAAGTCGGAGGTTTTATCTTACAGTTTCTGGGTAGTTAAAACAAACTGACAACATTAGGTGGGTTAGGAGTAATTAAACACACATTCATTACTTCATTGTTGTTGAAAATGATCGCAATAGTGAGCACACCAACAGCTCCCACGAACAATTAACAATTTCAGGATACCTACTAGTTGTACACAGATAATTTCGTACAAAAATTCATTTTTGTGTCCGAATATGGGAATGAAATCCAGCCAGCGACTTAGTGAGGGGGAGCACACATCCAAGAGATATTGGATCGCCACTAGAAGACACGCCACGGGTTGACATATCAAATGGATTACTAACTCTTCACTGAGGACAGGATGAAAAAATTGTTAGTTTGTATGGAGCTCCCGATTCGCAATTCGCCTTTCCAATCGAATCTAAAGAGGCAGATTAGGGAATCAGTGCACAGAGGTTGTTACAACTAAGCAACCATCTCACGACTATGTAGAAAACCTCTCCCTCCGTGGTATGTTTTAGGCTAGAATTTTCGTGATTACGGCGACTCTAATCTATATATGGGGTTTTCATCACAAACTGACATCAGCTCCCCAGCTCCCAATTTCGGGGAAAATTTGGCACATTTTGGGGAAATTCCCCAATATTTCCCCAAAATTCCCCTTTAACCTTGGTCAAGGTCATTTGACTTCGAGAGTTTCGATTAGATCCTCATCAGGCTTTACTCTAATATACAGTAATATTTATATGCATATACGAAATTATTAAACCAATCAAGGTAGTTTATAAGTCAATGATAACAATGGAAAAGATTACATAATAAGTAAAATGTGAAAAGTACAAATTGATGGTGTGACAACAGGTGCATTAGTTTTTGATAAGCAATAATAATAAAGGTTCAAATCAATGTGCCTACTTCTCCTGAGGAATTAACCAGGTTTAAGACCACGTTGGTAGACATCTGCCAACAATACAAAAATAGTAAATGTACGGTGAAAACTCCACTTACCAAACAGCACCGAGATGCTTTACATGTACTTAGAAACGACAATACTCTAATCATAAGCAAGCCGGACAAAGGAGGGGGCTAGTTCTTATGAACAAAGCTGATTACATTCATAAAATGAACGTGATTTTGAATGATCCGACAAAATTTCAGAAACTCAACGACGTTAAGGACTTAAATATGAAGGCAGAAAAATTGCTGACTATCTCACTGAAGGAATTAAAAATAAAGGTATTCTTACTCCTGACTTACATGACTCACTCAAGCCTACTGGATCGAACACACCGCGGCTATATGGTTTACCTAAAGTTCACAAGACAGGTCTTCCTCTTCGCCCAGTTTTAGATATGTATAATTCGCCTTATCATAAAACTGCAAAGTGGCTAGTTCGTATCCTAAACCCCTTACACAAATTAGTCGTCAATAGAAGCGTGAAAGACGTCTTCGATTTCATATCTAAAGTGGAACATATAAATTTAAATGGGAAACGAATGATATCTTTAGATGTTGCTTCCCTGTTCACCAATGTGCCGTTAACAGAGACTATCGATTTTGTGTGCCAACAACTGCAGGAAAAACAAATCAATATTGGAATTCCTGGGGTTAGTCTTAAAGAATTACTTTTAAAATGCACAATGAATGTCCATTTTGTCTTTAATAACACATATTATAGACAAATTGATGGTATAGCGATGGGTTCGCCACTAGGTCCCATCCTTGCGGATTTTTTTCTGGCGAAACTAGAAAACGGACCTCTCAAGGAGGTTATCAATAAACTGGATTTCTACTGTCGTTACGTTGATGACACCTTCATCATTGCCGATCAAAACCTTAGAAAAGAACAACTACTGGAACTATTTAATAACAAACATCCTGCTATTAAATTTACATGTGAGGAGGAAATAGATAACAAACTAAATTTTCTGGACGTTTTGTTAAGTAGAAAAGAAGATGGTTCTATCAGCAGGGGTGTGTATAGGAAAAGTTCTTCGCCTGGCCAATACACACATTTTTTAAGCTTTGTGCCTCTTCATTATAAGAGAAACTTAGTCAAATGCCTTGCAAATAGAGCTCTTAAGATATGCTCAGTCGACACTATCGATAGAGAATTACAACACATTCATAATATTTTGATTGAACTAGGATATCCACTGGGTTTCCTGAAGAAACACTTGCGCGTAAAAAACAGGAAAATAGTGACCCTGACGGCTAATAAGAAACCACTTTTCTTGAAACTGCAATTCAATGGTGATGTGGCTAGCGATGTATTACGAGATAGATTGACTAAATCAGTAAAGAGAACGTTTAATGCTGCCAACCTCTGCCTATCGTATTCGACCCGATCGATGGTGATTCCGCAATTGAAGGATAAGTTACCTGGTTATGCCACTTCTATGTGTATCTACGAATTCAGCTGCTCCTGTGGAGAAAGCTATATCGGGCGCACTACCAGGCAACTGAACCAACGAGTTAGTGAACACCTCCCTTCGTGGTTAGGAAAAGGCTATGTCAAAACAATACGCAGCTCGGTTCTATCACACTTGATCGATAGCGGTCATATAGTGGACAGAAACAAGTCGTTCAAAGTTATTTATCGGATTCCCACTAGTTTTCCTTATGGTGTTCGATCTCGTCTCTTACACATAGCAGAAGCTATAGGAATCCGAGCCAACAAGCCAAGTCTTTGTGTCCAGAAGAAATTTGTAACTCCCTTATCTCTCCCTTGGCCTTAAGTAATAAATGAATTTATTTATTTATTTATTCCTTTTCTAACTTTCTCTTCGTTTATTATTTTTCTTCACACCCTCCTACCACTTTATTTTCTCTCAACTATACGTTTCATGGTCCAATTATCTGAACATTTCTTATTACGTCATCTTATAATTTTATAATTGTTATCTCAGTTTCTATATTTTTCTAATCATTGACCTATTTCAGATTATGTAACATTGATTTGAACCTTTATTATTATTGCTTATCAAAAACTAATGCACCTGTTGTCACACCATCAATTTGTACTTTTCACATTTTACTTATTATGTAATCTTTTCCATTGTTATCATTGACTTATAAACTACCTTGATTGGTTTAATAATTTCGTATATGCATATAAATATTACTGTATATTAGAGTAAAGCCTGATGAGGATCTAATCGAAAACAATATTGTTCGCTTATATATGTTGTTCTAAATTTACAATATGGGAATATTTCAAATTTCGAGAGTTTCCCCAAAGTTGGGAGCTCGGGCTATAAGGCCAGAAATATATTTAACCAAGTGCATGAAAGGCTATCGCGTTAAAGCCCGAGATTTATTACCTTAAAACTGACTGATTCGTCCACAAATGATAGTCTTGCAGTTTTATTTGTTATAGTTGTTCAATTACCACGTTTTTTTTACAAAATTCCGTGTGAGCCGACCATACGTCAGCATTAAGCACTGAAGTTGGCGCTGTAACCTTGATATTTCTAAGACGCTTCTGATTGGTTCGTCTATAAATTGGTCTCGACAGGTGAACATAGAAGACATTTAAATGTTCAATCGAGCAATCGCATTGTGATTATAGAGTGAGATCAACGTTAAGAGTTAGAGATAGGAGTTACGGTTATAGTTCGGCTGAGTAGTTTAGGTTTAACATAATAAATTACATGTCTTCTGTGGACGAGGATATACTCAGACTTTGTTTGCTCCTACGTAATTCCAGGGCAACAGCAAGCTTATTTATAACAGCCCTCTCCATGGAAATTGTTCGAACTTCATTTGGTGAAGAACGATAGCTACTTATTCTTTGAGCTCTGCTTTTGTGTAGTGCGAGGACTTACTTTGTTGCGTATACAACTGACACTTGATTTTGTGTCACGAGTGTCTGTCGAGATGAAGATTCTTTGGCCGATAATCTCTCTCATTCGTTGCAACATGTCTCTCGCAGAACCGTGTTGCAGGTCAATGCTATCAGGGAGTTGGTCTTAATTTTGCCGATTGATCAGGCCTCCGCGTTTAAGAATAGATCGTTCCAGTGTCTCGTTGGGTTCCGAACTATCACCAGTAAACATGCTAGATGTTATGTGCCTGTTGAATTAGTGAGGTAGTGCTTTGACTACTGCGAGGAATTGTGCACGTGTGTCGTTCACGCCATGCTCGCAGAAGTCACCTTCCGCCTAGCAGAACCAGGCTTCGATGTTGTCTGATCAGGAGGGCATCAGTTGAAACAAAGGTAGGGACATAGTCTTTAACTGAAGTGCCTTGGGTGTCTGTTCAGTCAAGGTTGAATATGAAATACGAGAATGAACGAGTGAAGAAATATATATATTCAAAAACACGAAAAATTATCACAATGTATGAAAAATTTAAATAAGGCGATGATATATTGAATCCCCAAAAGGAATAGACTCACAGTTTGCGATTTTGTGTACCAGATCACGTCGAGCTCAACAATGAAGATGCCACAGGTATTCGGAACTTGACAATGCTTTAACCAGTAACACCTTCTAATATGAATCGTACCCAGCAAGTGAAATCAAAAGACAGAAGTGAAGAGGTTCGAAGATATATTTGATAGGCTATCAATATATCGAGGATCGTCTGAACTAATCCGGCTAGCGATTGCAGGGGTTGTTGAGCACGGCGTTCCTACTCGTGATCTGGTGCGGATGCATGACCGAGGGCCTTCAGCTAGATGAGTCGATTAAAACTAATGTGGTCAGCATCCAATGTCTAAAACTTACAGAGCTATTTATTTTGGGGATTTATTTACCGCTACATCCCAAAACACGATGACGATCACCCTAATCAAAAATATACTCATTTATATATTGATTCGTACACCCATTTTGATTAATAATTAGGATTAAATCACATATATGAAAAGTACTTACAGTTATAACAAATCATATACTGAGTATAGTTCATGTTAATTTAATACAAGAATAACGTATGTTATACACAGAATAAAAGATCACATTGGAAAAGAGAAACAAATACTACATTGAGTAGTCATTACATCGAACTAACATGGAAATAATGTTTAACACAACTCATAATGAGTAGATCGAACGAATTTTAATTTTTCCTATCATATCAGTATTCGAAATTATTCTAGGATTAGATCTATAGACTAGAAAGTTTCAATGAGATTGCAATAAACCGTTGAGCGTGTCTAAAGAATTAATTTAATGAATTTGCTTATTTTATGGTCAACTAGTGATTTGATATGATTATTTCTTGTGAATTAAATCAAAGTACAAATGGATTACCGACTGGATGATGTAGCTTATTCAATCAAATATATGACTCATAACTAATGAGTTGTTAGTTCAAATTTTAAGTAAACCTAAATTTTTACTTTGATAGAGTTTTGTTCTCTGAGTTGGATGGTTTAGTCGTGTTCGAACACTTCACTTCTACCTGAAGTTTGTGCTGATGATATCATTCGAAAGAAAAATGAAAGCTCCACGACCAAATTATCTAGCTCCGAGAAAAAAACTCCATCAAAATCATTCACCTGAACTACGAATCTTTTTCACCATCTCTAATTTTTTTACTGTCCAATAGTACATTTCAAATAATCACTGAAATTCAGAATCAATAATAATAATAATTTATTCTCAAATAACAGTTTGTTACATGAGGCATGCCAATTTACAGGCAAGATCAAATTGATACAAGTGATACAATATCCACTGTAGTAAATTACACAGCTGGGTTGATAATTTATAAGATA